ACTGCTGAGTAAAACTCCATCGTATAAATGAACCACATTTTCATTACCCACTTGTCAATTGAGGGACACTTAGGTTGCTTCCAGCTCTTAGCTATTGTGAAAATAGCAGCAATAAACATGGTTGTACAAGTGTCTCTACAATAGGATGAGTCCTTTGGGTATATGCCAAGGAATGGTATAACTGGGTCAAATGGTAGGTTCATTTGTAGCTTTTTAAGAGTTCTCCACATTTTAATAAAAATTATTTTATTTTTAACTATGTGTGTGTCTGTGTGTGGGTGTGTGCATATGAGTGCAGTGCTTGTGGAGGCCAGAAGAGGGCAACAGATCCCCTGAAGCTGGAGTTACAGGCAGTTGTAAGCCGCCTGATGAGTGTGTTGGGAACCTAACTCCATTCCTAGGCATGAGCAGCGCTCACACTTAGTCCCTGAGCCATCTCTCTAGCCAAATAATACTTTTTGTTTTCCATGGACATGACAAATTTAAGGGGAAAAAAGTATAGAGGAGGGTTGCTTATAAATGGAATTAGCCAAGAAACCTCCTTCTCTAATATACTGTCGTCCTTTCTAGCAACAAACTGGCCTCAGTTCTCAAGAATCTGTGAATCCCCTCCAGAGCAGGGATGTACATGCCCTTCCTCCGTGGTCTCAGTTTTCTAGAGCCTGTGAGGAAAATGCTGATCATCTTTTCTGTGCTTCTTCCACTGAGTGCAAGACTTGGCATGACTTCCAGACCCCAAATAAGCACTGGAGGGATGTGCAATAATCCGAGTTTTTTCTTTGCTTCTGTTAGACTGGGTTATTGAAAATTGATGAGATGTTCATTCCCTCCCTATAGAACATGTGCATAAACATCTTCAAGAGGATATTGTTCTTTAGGTATGATGACTTTACTGTGAAGGGTGAATGGCATAAATCAACACCTACCAGACTTACAATCTTCTTAACTCTCTTTATGTGTTAAATAAACAAAGCACGTTACCTGAGTAGGAAAGATCAGCTATGTGATGACTTATGGTTATTGAAGTCTTTATATTAGAACCTCTAATAATAATTGTTTCAATAACTTTCCTTCTCCTCCTCTTCCTCTTGCTCATCTTTCTCTTCTGTTTTTCCTCTTTCCCTTCCTCTTCTTTCTCCATCCCTTCCTCCTCCTCTTCCTCTTGCCCTCCTCTCCCTCCTCTTTCTATTTGGTATAACAGAATTACAACCTCAGCAACTAAGCAGGTGAAATGTTGGGGTATTTTGGTGAAATGGAGGTCGACCAGATATCTTGTTTGAAACCATACATAGTTTTGCAAGTCTTTTATAAAGCCACACGTGGAAATCAGCAAATGTTGGTAAGGATGTGTAAAGAGAGGAGTATTGGTGCAATGTTAAATTGGTTCAGACCTTCCAGAAAGTAGCCTAGAGGTATTTGCTGAAATCAAGTGTCCCAGGTAAATACATCTCAGGACATTTCAAGGAAATGTCACCGATGGGAATATACCAACAAGTTCATGGCAACACTGAAGGTGAAGGCAGCCATCGCAGGTTGGTTCCCCTGGAAAGAGACTCTGACAAGGAACTCTGCGTTTGAGTTTCTCTTTTCCTCTCTGTCCTCTAGGGCATGACCTTAGCTGAGGCAGCTCCCCTCTGCCAAGGTAGTACCTGGAAAGGATCCATACTGGAAGTCCAGAGTAGCCAGTGCTCCTGTCAATTGGAGGAGTGAGTGCCTAGGTCCTGAAGGAAGGGATCTGGTGGTGCCTCGCCACATCCTCAACACAGGCCTAAGCGTGCTGAGAGAGTGCAGTGTGATGACTCGGCATAGTAGTCACCACAGCTCACCCTTGTGCAGCGAAAGCTCAGTGCTCTTAGTCTTTTCGTCTCTGTGATCTGACCACCTTCCAAACCAGAATCCTACTCCCCAGTACATGTCCCAGAGAAGTTCTCAGAACAGACACAGATACCATTCATAGTATTGTTTGGGGTTGGTGGGAAGCTGGAGGCAGCTTCTGTAGCTATCGCGGGGGGGAAGGAAAAAGTTCAGTGTTACAGGTGCCAGTGGTGCTGAGGAGATGATCTATGTGACATCTTGTGTAGATCTTAAAAACACTTGCTCAGTGGACTGAAAAAAAAATAGAATGAGATCCACAAAATAAGCCATGAATATTTCACAGGGATAAATACTTACCTAAGGACATACATTAAGTACATTTAAATAGATATGCTCAGAAAGAAGGAGACTATATATAGATGTCAGAGCTGGATGGAGAAAATCTGAACTAAACAGGTTGTTGACATGTGAAAACAATAAATGTGGTATTGTGAGAAACTCATCCTATGTCTGAAATTCAAAAGAAACAAATACATCTTAGTAAGTAAACTTCATTAGAATAATTGTAAAAGTACCTAAAATTGGAGTTTTTAAAAAAGATTTATTTTTTCAAATGGTGTGTGTGTGTGTGTGTGTGCGTGTGTGCGTGTGTGTGTGCTTATGTATGTGTAAGTGGAAGTACCAATGGAGTCCAGAAGAGACCATTGGATCCCCTGGAGCTGGAGTTACTGGCAGTTGGGAGCCACCTGACATGGGTGCTGGGAACTGAACTTGAATCCTCTGCAAGAGCAGTACACACTCTTAACTGCTGAGCCGTCTCTCCAGCTCCCTAAAATTGAAGTTTTAGTAATGAGACTATGAGAAATGCTTAGCTTCTTTGTGCACATGTGTGTATGTGCATGTGTGTATCCTGATGTATGTGTATATACATATACATTACAAATAGTTGTAGTTTTTATACATTTGACATTTTTAAAATTTTTATTTCTTAAATTACCATATAATAGTTATACAAACCTATGGGATATAGTTTTCCAGTTTAATACATATATACAATGTGTACTGATACAGGCAAGGAAGCCAGATCTTTTGTCTTCAGGATTTATTGTCCAGAGAGTAACTAGCAGAATGCTGATGGGGCCCAGTGTGGGGGTGAAGGAAGTGGAGGTGGGTGGAGAATCATTTCTAATCAACTGGAGAGAGAAGGGGTTGAGTTAGAGAGAAGAAAGATTATAGAAAGAAGGGTTTGCATTGCTTGAGGTGGAAAATCAGAGTTCTGTGTGATAGTGTAACATTTGAGGTATGTACTTGACATCTCAAACATATGCAATATATGTTGAGGAAATATATTTAAGTAATTCTATACAATTTTTTAAAGTGTTGGTACACAGCCTGTGTTCTGTTAGAGGGAGACCAGTTTCTTTTTAAAGATTTTATTTTTATTTAAATTATGTGTATATGTGTGTAAGTTTGTGCACATGAGTGCAATGCCCACAGAGGCCAGAAGAGGGCATTAGGTTCGCTGGAGCTGGAGTTACGGGCAGTTATGATGCACTGTGTGGGTGCTGGGAACTGAACTCCTGTCCCCTTGAAGAATACTATGAGCTCTTAACCCTCATACTATGAGCCATCTCTCCAGCCCTTCTATGTAAAGTTTTAAAAATATATAAAACATGAACATATGGTGTGATACAACTTGCTCATAGGCTTCCTGTCCCATGTTGGGGATTGAACCCAGGGCTATTCCTCCAGCATTTCTCTTAGTTGACTCTGAACCTTCTGACATGAATCTTCCTTATTTCTATGTGAGGTATTTGGGCTCCTTGTGTTTTTCCCCCTCTCCTATTAAAGTTTTTTAAATATATTTTTATTTTATGTGGGTATGAGTGTTTTGCATGCATGTAAGTGCACCCTGTTGCACAGTGCCCATAGAGCTCAGAAGAGGGCGTTGGATCCCCTAGAACTGTTGTTATGGATGGCTGTTACCTGCCATGTGGGTGCTGGGAACTGAACCTGGGTCCTCTGCAAGAGTAATCAGCTCTCTTAACCTCTGAACCATCTCTCTAGCCCCTCCCACACCCCTATCACTCATTATGATAAATGTTGTCAGCAGTACCAATATTGATTCATTGATATGTGTGTGCCTGTCGGTGGGCAGGCTGTCCTCATGTCCCCCTGCTGTCCTCCTGTCTCCCTGCCCCTCTCCTGAAAGAAGGAAGGCAGCCTATTCCTCAGGGTGGGGAAGAGGATAGATAGGTGAGTGGAGGGGACTGCTGGGTTTGATGGAGACATGAGGACATTTTCCTCTGACTTCATCTCTATTCAGAGTGAAGTAGGAAGTGAGGGCCTCAACTAAGGGGTGGTGGCAGGAAAATTTGGTACATTTGGAGAGGGAACACAAGATGTTACTTGTTTGGGGGGGCGGAATGTGAGAGCCTAATAAATGTCTTCCTTGGTCCACAGTAGAATGCAAGTCCCTTGATAGGAGACACATCTTCAGGGTCTCTGAGCCTCTTTTCTCCAGCATCTGGAGTACACTCAGATACCTTGGTTGATGATGGGCCACTTGGAGTCTCAGCACACAGGGGGTATAGATATCCATGACTGAGTAAAGTGGGTAGAATTTTTACTGACATGAATACACCTTGAAAATTAGGTCTTTAAAAAATTCATTAGAATTTTTACTGACATGAATACACCTTGAAAATTAGGTCTTTAAAAAATTAATTGTGTGTGTGTGTGTGTGTGTGTGTGTGTGTGTATGTGTGTGTGTGCGCGCGCACGCGCAGTGGTTAACAGAGGCCACAAGAGGGTGTTGAACCCTCTGGAACTGGAGTTATGGATGGTTGTTATTTGCCATGTGGGTGCTGGGAACTGAACCTGGGTCCTCTGCAAGAGTAGTCAGTGACTCTTAACTGATGAGCCACCTCTCCAGCCCCCAAATTAGGTCTTCAAAATAAACCAAAACCAAAACAAAACAACCCAAAGCAACATGTTTATCAGCTTTGATAGGAAGTCCATTTTGACTCTTTTTCTAAAAAGTCAAGTTCAGAACAGGAGAGATGGCTCAGCAGTTAAGAGTACTGGCTGCTCTTGTAGAGGACCTGGGTTCAATTCCTAGCACCCACATGGCAGTTAACAGCCATCCATAACTCCAGCTACAGGGAATCCGACACCCTCTTCTGACTTTCATGGGCACTGCATGACATGGGTACACTTACATACATGCAGACATAATACTCTTACACATAAAATAAAAATAATAAATAAAATATTTAAAAAAAATGAAAAGTCAAGTTCAAGAAAAGTTTTGCTTTAGCCAAATCCCTCGTGTTGTTCTTGCTCTATGGGAACTTCCCTACCCGTGGGTGACTGGAGCACGTAGTCAACTGGCAAATCCCGCAATATAGTTCCACATAAACCTCTGTCTGTGTTCTGACTATAGCTCTAAGTAGTTACCACACTTCGTGGACTCCAGCAATCTGGGTGTGTCAAACTTGTGTACTTGGGGTGTATATAAATAATGAAATGGAAAACTAAGAAGAAACTTGATTTCACCTCAATAGACATGTGCCATCTGGCCACACAGTGTGGCCGTTTGTTATCTGCGTGCGGCAGATCCAAAGCCTTCAACCCAGGGTGTTTTCCTGCCATGTAAACCACCCACACCACTAAAAGGCTCCTCTTTCTTTATAAAGACTGTGTGTGGCATTGTTCTTTAATGACTTTAAACTGCTCCCTATCTCTTAGATTAAGTACTAGTTATTACCTGACATCCAGCCATCTGTAATACAACCTCACCTTACCTCTCCTGTCCTCTCTCTCCCAACCAGCATTTATCTACCGTAGTCTTCACAACTTCCTCAGTCTGCTTCATGTTTCAGCATCTAACGTTTTGTGCCTTTCCGTTGCATGGCCATCCTAATCCCATGTTCTCTCGACAAAAATCCTCTCCTTGGAGTCTTCTCTCAAAAAAAAAAACCTCCTCCTTGATAAATCCAAACCTGATATTCACCTGACAATCTTTTCCCCTGCCTTCAGCAGCTTCCGCAGTATTTTGATTATTATTATTATTATTATTATTATTATTATTACTTTCTTTATGTGTATGGGTGTGTAAATGCACTTGTGTTGTACAATGCCTGTGGAGGCCAGAAGAGGGTGTTGAATTCCCCTGGACTTGGAGTTATGAATGGTGGTTAGCTGCCATGTGGGTTCTGGGATTCGAACCCAGGTCCTCTGCAAGAGCAGCCAGTGCTCTTAACCACTGAGCCATCTCTCCAGTCCCTATTTTGTTTATTTTTATTTCCTTCTGGCTCTTGCCTCGCTGCTTCTTGTCTTGAGGTTGTCACGTAACTGGCTTGTCCCTCTACAGTGTCACAAACTGCTTGAAGGAAAGGACTGTGTGTCTGTCTTCTTTGCAGTCTGTTCTAAGTTCCATGCTGTGCCCACAGGAGTTGTAAAGAGAGTAACAGAAGCAGATAGAGGCACAGAGAGAACCAGGACACGGTAGTTCAGAGTAATCACTGGATCTAGAAAGAGCTGTGTGAGACTGTGGGAGAAGCTGCTCGGGAGGGTGGGACTGAGTGGGGCACAGTCCCCTCCACCCAGCCTCACTTCCACCCTGTGCCCCTATTACCTCCCTCCCTACTGGGAAAAATCACACTGTTAGATACTGAAATAGTTTCCTCAAACTGGCTCAGGCATTCAACCTTTCCTTTCCTCCTCTTCAAAAGAAGTCTGTCCACACCAAGCATATATTTATTCTCTCACTGTTTTGTTACAGATAATCAGTCGATTCATCTGGAATGAGAAGAGGGTGTCTTCAGGCTCACAACAATGGGGTTCAGCAGCCTTTGCTTTGTGTGGACAGGGACAGAATTTAATTAACAGAGGCAGCTCTGGAGCTGAGGGTGGGAGAGTTTTTGTGGCTGTGGGTTAGTGTTCAGCATCTTTGAGTGAAAGTGTGTATGTTCAACTCCTGACAAAAGCCCTGGGCTGGAGATGTGAGGAGATGTAGATGTCCCCATATTCCTTTGTGTCTGTGGGTGCTGCCTCACGGAGCTGCCTGAGTAGAACTCCTGCAGTGATTGGCCTTGAACTCAGGATGATTCTGAACTTCTGACCATCCTGTCTCTACTTCCCAAGTGCTGAGATTACAGGTGTCCGCCACCACACAGTGCTAGAGATCGAACCTAGGACTCTGTACATGCTAGGCAAGGACCACCTGAGCTACACCCCAACCAGCCTCTTCCATCTTCTTTTGCAGTGCAGAGGATCAAACTCAGGGCTTCCTGCAGGCTAACCAAGCAAGTGGTCTCCACATCCCCAGCCCTGCCCCACCCTCCCTACTTTGGCTGGATGTCCTCTTTGGTGCTAACTCAGAGACCCTGCCTAATTGTTTTGTGTGGCCTCTTTTGTGGACTGTCTCTTTTCTTCCTATATGTGATAATTATTCTATCAGTAGTTTTGTTAGGGGGCCTGCTGTCAAAACCAACATAAAAGAAAAAGAAAGAGAAAGAAACCCTATTAAAATGGAAATAAGGCCCCCCTCCTCCTGATAACAGTCGTTTTCATCAATTTCCTTTATTTTCTCTCTCCCATCCAGGTCTGGTTTAGTGAGAAGATGTTTGAACCCTCATTCTGGTTTTACCACGGGTATAAAATCCCCGTGTGTAAAACTTTGGACCAGTATTTTGAATACATCCAGTCTCTGCCACCCTTAGATAACCCAGAAGTCTTTGGGCTCCACCCCAATGCTGACATCACGTGAGTGCTTGGTCTGTCTGTCTGTCTGTCTGTCTGTCTGTCTGTCTGTCTTTCCTCTTTTTTTCGTGCTGACATCACGTGAGTGCTTGGTCTGTCTGTCTGTCTGTCTGTCTGTCTTTCCTCTTTTTTTTAGTTTGAAGGTATCATTTGTCACTCAGCCTGGCAAGCACTATGCACTTCATTTTCTCCGTTAATCTCTCTCTTTGCCCCTCTTTTTTTTATTTTACTGTTCAAAATAGTGTCACTTTCTGTCTCCAATTACAACTTTGTCACATCTTGGCCTGTCCTCCTCTCACTAAACCCCAGTGTGCCGGTGTTTATGACAACATGAAAGCCATAATTTATGCATTGATTATTTCTCTTCTGCTGTGTCATAAAACCGGTTGTGCTTTTTTTTTTTTAATTGATACTCTCCACTGATAGGATAGTCATCTCCCAGCTCCTTATCTCTTTCTCCAAAAAAAATCCATTAAAAATACTGTTCTCCGGAGCTGGAGAGGTGGCTCAGCAGATAAGAGCACTTGCTGCTCTTCCAGAGGGCTGGAGTTTGGTTCCCAGCACACAGGTCAGGCAGCTCATTACCACTGTAACTCCAGCTCCGGAGTATCTGACACCCCCTTCTGGTCTCCATGGACACTGTACTCATGCATATTCCCACACACAGATACACACATTAACATAATTTTTTAAAAAATAAGGTTTAAAAGACCAGGGTCATACAGACAGGAGGGTGGAGGCCTGTACTCCAACTTGGCCCCGTGACGGACTCTCTCTCTTGCTTGCTCATCTTACTCTTATGGTCAGGAGCCACTCATGGGCATATGCCCCAGATGTAGATGTCAGTGTGAGGCCCCCGATCCCAAGAAGACGAAGAAATGCCTGATAGTCCCACATCCCTTCTCAGGTCCACCCTCCAGGTGAAGTTTCTCTTTAGAGATCCCTACCCTAAACAAAACCACCTGGTTCCACCCCACCCCCCAACCCAGGGAGCCCTAGCAAGGCATTGCCTCTGTGGTTCATTGGTGGAAGATTCCAGGCTAGGACAGGCCTTTAGAAGAAGCCAGGATTCCTCTGGCGGATCCCCAGTGGTGGCAAGGCATGCCTCTCTCCCAGTCCCTCATGCATGGCTGCAGTTTTAGTAACTCTGCCATCAGGCTTGGACACCCCCCTACTTCCAGTGGTCTCCCTGGGGAGACAACTACATTGCTTTTCCACCCACAGCCCCCCGCCTCCAAATTTCCCCTGCATGAAGGACATCCTACTGGCTTCTCTACACCCATATTGAGTTCACCTCTTCATATCCTCTAATCTGGCCTACGGAACTTTTCACCTTCAAAGAAGCAGTTATGAAAACCAGAGGCCCGTGAATGCTAGTGTTCCTTTCAGGCCCTATGACAGAGCCCTATGACAGGCCCTATGACAGAGCCACACCAGTTCTTTGATATCACCTCTGGGCTGTTGCTTTGAGAAGCTCAGATGAGTTAACTGGGGTGGAAACATACTGAAGAAATAAAAATGATTCTTCAGGGATCAGAGAACAAACTTACACATGTCTGAGAGAGGAAGCGGTTTGGCTTGAGCTGAGGCTTTTAAAATGTGAGCTAGACTTCATTGATCTCTACTCAGAGCTCTGCTAAGCTTCTGCCTCACCTCGGGGCAAAAGTGACCTACACACACATAACCTACAAGGCCCAGAGGCCCATTACCCCCCAAGACCTCAGTTCCTTCCTTCCATCTATCCATTCATTCTTCCCTTTGGTCATTCCTCCCTCCAGCTCAGCTCTGGCTCCCTCCAATTTTCTGCTATTCAGACAGGCCATGGGGCACTTCCTGGAACATTACCCCACCCCAAGATATCATTGTGGCCCACCTTTGACCTCCTCCGGTTTTTAGTTAGATGTCATGTTCTCAGTGACTCCTTCCCTAGCTACCCCATGTATAAACAATATACATTTCCCACCTTCCCACCCCAGACCCCACCCCCTTCCCTGACCTACTCTTTCCTGTAGTTTGTACCAGCAACTGGCACACTGTTTTCATTTTCTATTGTCTAAAACCACCACTAAAATACAAATTCTTTTGCATCCTAAACTTGTGCCCATTTTTAGTGCTGCATCCCCTTGGCTACAATAGTGCCCATTTATCTTTTTCAATCATTCTGAATTTTTGTAGTATACAAGTAGGGATGAAATCTTACCTTTCTTCTAAGTGCTAATCCAATAATCCACCATCAGTGATCTGAGGCACTTTCTTAAATGTAGACAGAACTTCCAGAGGGGCACAGGCCGGTGTCTGGGCTTCCTCCTCCTCCTCAGCAGTCTGTTTAGAGAGTCTAGGTTTTATTAGCTGTTAGGGTTCTCTGTCTCCCTGCCGCCAGCCCCACCCCAGGCTTTTCCTAGCTACTCTTGAAGGTTAACTTTTTTTTTTTTTTTGTCTTTTTGAGACACAGTCTCCTTGTAGCCCCAGCTGGCCTAGAACTTGCTATGTAGACCAGGCTGGCTTTGAGCTCTGTCAGAGATCTGCCTGTCTCTGCCCCCTGAGTGCTGGGACTAAAGGTGTGTGCCACCATGCCTGGCTTCTTAAATGTTAACTCTTTAATGCCACGAACAAATATTGCATGTTGAGTTTTATTCAATGCCTTTCAGTAGCTATGCTTAGTCTCCAAATTGGTAAATAATAGTAATGAATGTCCCAATCCAGATAATTCATGAAGTCCTGAAAGCAGTTACCATGGTTTCTGGCATCTTGTTCTTTCATCATGGTGACAGGCTACCAGCAGTTTGTTGGGAATATTTCTGAATTCATATCCACAAATGATGTTGATCCAGAATATGTTGTGGTATCTTTACCTGGTTCATTTTTAAATATGTACTTATTTTTATTTATGTGTTTGTGTTTTGCCTCTATGTATATACGTGCACTACGTACATGCAATGCCCTCAGAGACCAGAAGAGGGTGTCAGATCCCCTAGAACTGGAATAACTGGTTGTTAGCTGCCATATGGATGCTGGGAAGCAAACCTGGGTCCTCCAAAAGATCAGCGAGTGCTCTTCGTAGCTGAATCATTTCTCCAGCTCCCACCTGGTTTCATTGTAAAACAATGGTTGCAGTTGCTATATTAAAAAAAGGACATTTTTTGAGCTTTCAGACAAGTTATATAGTATTGGGTGCTTAAAAATTGGGTGGCATTATCCTGTTTAGCCATCGGTGCCTTTTGGCACAGCTGTTTCTTTGGTCTCGTCATCCTCTGTTTCCAAATAGTCAGCTTGTATAAATTGTGTCCTTTCATATTTGTTTGCAGAAAGCTATGCAAGATAGTCATCGTCTGCTTGAATGTGTGCACACAGTACCAAGTCTAGCTCATTGAGTAAGCATGTTGTGGAAGTGTTGGCCTGCCTCTCACTCTGAAATCCCATGGCTTTCAGATGCTTTATTTTCTCTCTAAAAGGCACGTGCTTAACTCCCTTAAAGCAACTTGTCAGGTGACTATAGTCAGCCACTTTGCCATGGTGAGCCAGTGCCTGCCAGAGAAACTGTGAGGGGCAGCTGGGCATTGACCCAGGTGTGTACTAACCACATGAGAAGCCAGACGCCCCTCCTTTAAAGGGCCCGGCTCAAAAGGTACTCCGTCATCAGTGACAAAATCGCATTGTGGCAAAGTAACAGACTGTTTTGCAAACTCTGTGAGTTTTCCCATCATTCTTAGCGTGTTTTCCAGGTAACAGCATAATCACTTATCTCTTATTTTTACCACCTTTCCCTCCACTGCCTCTACCCACTGTCTCTCCTGGGTGGAACATATCAGTTCTGATGGATGACCTTTTAAACAGCTGTATACCAAGGGCTGGGGACATAGCCCACTCAGTAAAATGCTTCCGGGACCTGAATTCAATCCCTAGAAATCCCTTAGAAAAAGCTTTGTATTGGGGGCTGGAGAGATGACTCAGTTGCTAAGAGTACTGGCTGCTCTTGCAGAGAACTTGAGTTTGGTTCCCAGTACCCACAAGGAAGCTGAGAAATGGAGTTTGGTTCCCAGTACCCACAAGGAAGCTGAGAAATGGTTGTAATTCCAGTTCCAGGAGATCCAAAGCCCTTTCCTGACCTCTGCACTCCTTGCATGTAGGCAAAATACTCATACACATAAAATAAAAATAAATAAAAATTTAAAAATAATAAAAAGCCTGGAGTGGTAGTACATGCATGTAATCCCAGTGCTGGGGAAGCAAATATGGATGGATACGTGGGGCTCACTGGAAAGCTACACACACACACACACACACACACACACACGCACGCGCATACCAGCATACCAAACATGGTGTCTGGATCTCTCAGTATACCACAATCTTTTTAAAATACAATTTTTGCTTATCCTTTGAGAATTTCATATATGTATACAATGTGTTTTGATCATATCCACCTCTCTCTGAGATTTCTTCCAATTCTCCCCAGACACCCCCACCACTTCCCTCTCCCAACTTCATGTCCCCTCCTCTTATTTTTTATAACCCACAGAGTCCAGTTAGTACTGCCTGTATGCTCATGGGAGTGGGACCGTGCACTGGAGCATGGGGAAACCTACCACGGGCCATATGGGGAGGGGGGCTATCCTTCCCTTAGAAGCCTTCAGTTGTCAATAGTTCCTCAGCTAGGGGTGGGGCCTCATGAGCCCCGCCCCCATCCATGCTGGAGTGCTGTTTGACTTGATCCTGTGCAGGCAGCCATAGCTCCCGTGAGTTCCTAAGTGTACAGGAGACCATGTTTCACAAGAACCTCTGGCTCTTACAGTTTTTCCACCCCCTCTTCCTTGATGTGTCCTGAGCTTTGGCGTGTGCTGTGATACAGATGTCTCAGAGCTGAGCATCCCACCGTCACTTATTATCTGCACGCTGACCATCTGTGAGTCCCTGTGTTAACCACCATCCAGTGCACAAGAAGCACCTCGGGTGAGGGCCAAGAGATGCACTCATCTGTGGTGGAAGCTGGAAGCCGAGGGTCT